CACCTTTCCCTTTGACATGCCGCTTCAGATCCTCCATCACCGCCGCCATTCGCCGGATGACAGCGTCTTGGTCCCTCAACTTACTTTCCAGTCGTCTGGCGTGTGAGTCTCTCCTCCGCCGATGACCGTCTGGACTCCGTGAATGTCCATGACTTCTTCCACGCTTATCCCGCGCGTCTCCTGACTGTCCTCCGGTGGGTGTCCCCAAGTCCGCCATTGGATGGATGGCGGGAGGTCCTTCTCTCCTTCGGGTGAACTCCGGGGTACCTGCGAGCAAGTAACGGTGAGCTACCCGGCGGTGTGTGGCCAGAAAAACCCTCCGACGATCAAGTTAGCACACACCTTAGGATGGATAGAGAGAAGGGAGAGAGAGTTTGGGTGTAAGAATTCCTTACAGAGATGTTCGTGTGTCGCGTATGGGGGGCGCAGACATGCTTATATACCCTCTGCGCCCCATATCCACTCCCAGTCACCTCCTGACACGTGGCTCCGCTATCCCATCTGTCAGCATAAACCATGCCAATCATCACCTAATCTCAACTGCCTGTCATCACAGCTTGAGCTCGGCAGCCGAGCTGCTTTATCCGTTGTTGTGCCGTGCCGTGCTTCATACCCCAGCACTTCAATGGCTAAGACCTAAGGAGGACCGGGCTAGGCGGCATCTCGGCAAAGCCTAGCCCGAGGCTCCTCCTAGGGTCGGCCTTTCTGCCGGTCAAACAACTACCTCGGCTGACCACGCCTTTCCGGGCGCCGGTCACTCGGCCTGTCCGGCTTCGACCATCCTCGGACCGAGCAACCTGGTCCGACCGAGCACCGCCTTGCCGAACAGTTTCTGTACGGTCCGGGGCGGCACACACTCAGTCCAAACTCTGCCCGGCCCAAGTTCTGCAACCCACCTCCGGGCAGATAGTTGATCAACTCGGCCTCATGCACCGTTGGGCCCTCAACCTGCTCGGCCGTTACCTCGGCCCAACTCCAGATCATAAATTTCCCTCTCAGTTAGGTTTGGCGTTTTTACCACTCCCACTAGTGATGTCGCCTCCAACTCTTTCTTTCTGCTCGTCGTTGGCTATCTATTCTTCTTACGTTTCCCACAGACGACGCTAAATTGTGGATGTTATTTTCTGACCACACTGCCAAACAGGTACCCAGCTGAAGAGCACCGGCAGAATAGATCTCGTGCCGAACAACCTGTCACAGAAAGATAAGACTCCAGCGGTGGTTCGTCCACCCGGGGACACTCCGACGATCAAGTCAGTTCTCAGTTATCTCTCAAAGATAGTAAACAGTGCTTAACTCACTAAGCCATAATACAAAAAGCGTACCTTAGACCTACCAGGGTGCCTTACTATTATAGCCAGCACTAACATGATCCCTGTAAAAGCCTAGCTTCTCTTGGACTCTAGCTCAATGCTCATCTTGAACTCTCAAATAGATAAAGATAAACTCCCTAAGAGTTTCATCTTTATCCAAACTGAGATCCTCCCACATTCTAGGAGTCTTGTCCCTTATCCGTTCATCTCAGATTCCGGTATCTCCACAGATAACCTCGGCCTAGCCGAGATAACCTCGGCGCCATGACCGAGATACATGGCACCTCGACTGGCACTTTGGTGCCACCTTGGTTACGTGTTGTCATTCACAAAAATATAGCCCCATAATTACTACATTTATGTATTAAATTGTTTTTATTATTTTTACATGTCATTACTGTCTTAGTTTAATGCGTTCTAGTTGAATAAATAATTTAATAAACCAAATGATAAGTTCACACTGACTTGTCAATTTGGGATGTAACCCTCTTGGGGGACTTGATGCTCGCTTGTATAGTCTACAAGTTATCAATGTTGTGGTGAAATGATAAATGAAATATAATAATAATAAAAAATATGAACATCATAATATTATTAAAGAAAATGCCTAACAATAGAGGGATAACTTTGGGACTTAAAATTAAAGAATTAGTGTGTGCATATGCCAAAATGAGAACCTAATCCTCTATTTCCATCTTTACATGATCAAACTTGAAGAGCCTTATCACGTTGTAGAATAGCAATTAATAGCATTGTCATTGCTACAATTTGATAATGAATAGTATAATTCTAGTAATAGTACTTCAATAGTCATATGTCATTTTGGCAGAATCAACACAGAAATTTGTGTGTTCGAACAATCGATCGGTCGCCCTGAACACACCGGTTTATGTGTTTGGTTCTGCAAAAATGATAAGTGGAAGGAAAGGAGGGAGGGGGGGTTTGGTTGATGAGTTGGCAATTTTGGCATTTGCCAAATTTAACAGTTGCCATAACCAACTATTGGAGCACACTTTTCATCTTCAACTGCCAAATTATGACAATAGTAGCTCCAATAACAAATCATTGGAGATGCTCTAAATTAAGGATAAGAAGATGGAGAGATTTGAGATAGAGGATTCTCCCCACCATAGCTTAAGTGTTTGATCATTAGTCCCAAATTACTTATTTATTTATTTTGCTTAGTTGCCCAAAAATCAGTCTTATCTATATTATGATTTTTTAAAATTGTATTTGAATTATGAATTTATATATAGATTTATAAAAAGAAAAAAAAAAGTGAGTGAAATATAATTATATTTCATCCACATTTCACTTTTTTTTTTTTTTTACTCAAATGTATGTTTTAAATACAATCCAAAGTTTAATTGTGAGAAGATTCATTATCAATGGTGCAAAAGACAAAAGTTTTGCTTCCATAACAACAAAATTGCTTTATGGTCTTTTATTCCCTAAACCCAAACATAAATTTGGGGGGCTTTTTTGTCTGTGACATGTTCTAAAATAATTTGAGTCTATCGAAAATTTTATATAGTTGAATGATTGAGACTGTAATAAGACAACTTCAAAGAAATTTAACAAAAAAAAAAAACCTTCATATAGCTAGAAAGATACTTCCAAGAACCCAACATCATGTATTAAAACATTGAGCCCCAAAAGTCAATACATGTTACACATTATCTCCGTCATTGACTCATTGGAATAGTGTCGTTGAGAAAACGTTTACCAACAGCAAAGAGCGTGAATTCAAGTTGATTATTCTTCTTCTCTTCATTTCACTCCTTTTTTTTTTTCTTTTTTAATAAGCCTATTTCATGCAAAATCAATTTAGTAGTAAATAATTGCATGTGGTATGGTTTGAATATTTTTATTTATTTTTTATTTTATTTTATAATTAGGTATTCAAACTAATTTACACATAGCACAACAAATCTCGGATTCTTAAATTAACAACTGGGTCAACTTCTGATGACCTCAAGATTTGAGATGTTTGGTCTTGGAATTTGATTCTACAATCTTTGATTACCTCTCCTCCTACTAAGTCAAATCCATTGGGTTGCGTTAAACATTAGGCAAAATGATTAATCTTATTTAGTAAGAATGACACATATTGAAAAATCACCAAAAAATTGGTCAACGTAAGAAAATTGGCCGGAAAAGTCATTGAAAAGTTGCTGGCGATCGGTGGAAGGTGGTTGATGGCGGCAACAACTAGTGGCAGTGAGTTAAACAGATAGGAGATATTGAATACATAGGCAAATAGATTGGTGACACGTGTATAAATAGTGATACATTTTAATAGATAGTTGGACATTTGAACAAATAATTGCATAGATAGATAACACGTGTACACATTTTAACAAGTAATTAGACAAATAAGTAATACATATACGTAAGTGTATTTGAATAGATAGACAAGGAATTAAGTTTTGAAAAATAGTTGAGAGTACTAAAAGTGGTGCTTTAATAGCACCACTAATGATGAGGCGGCCCACCGCCTATGCCTTTTTTTTTTTTTTTTTTTGTATTCTCAATGCATTAGTGCTATTAGTAAATTTTTTTTTTTTATTAGTGATATGAATCATTGTCGTTAAGTTTTTGAACAAATAACGTATCATTTTGACCTCAAAAGATTTAAGTCTAGACTTATTTAGCTCAACAGTTTCAAAAATACATCTCATACTTTGTGTGGTAAATCATGAATAATCTTTTATTTATATATTGGGATAAATTATAAATACACTTTCTGAGATTTGTTTAAAGTAGAGATTGTCCCCTGTGATTTAAAAAATTACAAATACCTCCTTATTACTATTTTTTATTTAACCGAATTAGCTAAAAAATGAAATTCATAATTGTTCTCCTATACAATAATAAAATTATCTAAATTATTAATTGAAATATATTTCTAACATCATTAAAACTGTTAATTGACTTGATGATTTATTAATAAAATAGGTGATTTGTTATGAAATTAGAAATCTCAAGAGATAGAATGTAATTTTCAAAATTACAAGAATAATTTATATTTTAATCAAATTTTAGAAGATATATTTATAATTTATTTTATATATTATTTTTTAAAAATAAACTCTATCAAACATGGAAACGGAAAACATATATTTATTAATTTCCAAATAATCCCTTAATATTCCTAGCTGAAGAGAAGACTGTTCAAATGACAATCATCGTGAAACAATCACCTAACCTACCTCACAAACAAAAAGAATAACCCAGGGGTGTGGTGGAGTGGTAAGGACTCCTCCTCCCTTAACCAAGTGTCGGGGGTTCGATTCCCGCCTTGGGCATGGAGCAGCCTTAAATCTCTGGACCAGCTGTTCCACCCTTCAAAGTGCCTACAATTAGCGAAGGGATTAGTCTCCGCGGTCGGCGGAGGATACTCTGGGAGACCAAAAAAAACAAACAAAAAGAATAAAAATAAAAAAAAATAGGGGGGAAAAAATAAAAAACCGAAATTGGCCATTGACATTCAACAGATGAAGAGAGGGAGATCATTAATGCATTCTTGGGGCATCACTTTTGATACCCAAACAGTTCCTTAACACAGTTGAAGACTATACCAACCAATGCCTATGAGTTACCCACCCAAAAAAAAAAACATGCCTATTGGTAAGAAACTGCCTTACAAAAAAAATAAATAAATAAAAATTAAACATAGAAAAATAAGAAAAACCCAACTGGTTCTTGAATTCCCACATATGGGATAATGAAATATTGACTTTAAAATAAATTAAGAACATAAGCTATTCATTGACAAGCACAGTAATTTTGAAAATATCACATCAGAACCAGAAACAAAGAAAGTCTTGTAAAATATAAACAGGGGCATCATGACGTGACAAGTGAGTTTCATTGGCCAAGAAGAAAACCAGAATACGAGTAATTATCAGAGGTGGATAATGCATTACGGCACGGTTTGGCTCTAATTTTGGAGCTTTAATATATTGTGTATTTTGGCGGCTACTTTCAGGTTCACATCTGTCTCTAATTTTGCCCAATTGTTTTTTTGCTTACATAATTGTAGTAGTTTGGATCTCTAAATCTTGGGTGGTTCAACTGCTGCTTCATGTGGGTTTTGTGAGAGCTTTTGTTCTGAAATGTTTGGTATGATTTTGTTTCATTCATGTTTTGCTTTCATGTCTTTCTCTGAAATTTCTGTATATGCATATCTTTTTGGGTTTAGTGTTTTGCTTTCTGAATGTAATATAAGTGTGTTAGAATTCAAGTGTGGTTGTTGGGAATCTCTCTCTCTCTCTCTCTCTCTCTATATATATATATATATATATTTATATGTGTAAAATATCTATTGTATGTGTTGTTTTAATAGATAGTTGGACATTTGAACAAATAATTGCATAGATAGATAACACGTGTACACATTTTAACAAGTAATTAGACAAATAAGTAATACATATACGTAAGTGTATTTGAATAGATAGACAAGGAATTAAGTAGCCGAGATAACCTCGGCACCATGACCAAGACACATGGCACCTCGGCTGGCACTTTGGTGCCACCTTGGTTACGTGTTGTCATTCACAAAAATATAGCCCCATAATTACTACATTTATGTATTAAATTGTTTTTATTATTTTTACATGTCATTACTGTCTTAGTTTAATGCGTTCTAGTTGAATAAATAATTTAATAAACCAAATGATAAGTTCACACTGACTTGTCAATTTGGGATGTAACCCTCTTGGAGGACTTGATGCTCGCTTGTATAGTCTACAAGTTATCAATGTTGTGGTGAAATGATAAATGAAATATAATAATAATAAAAAATATGAACATCATAATATTATTAAAGAAAATGCCTAACAATAGAGGGATAACTTTGGGACTTAAAATTAAAGAATTAGTGTGTGCATATGCCAAAATGAGAACCTAATCCTCTATTTCCATCTTTACATGATCAAACTTGAAGAGCCTTATCACGTTGTAGAATAGCAATTAATAGCATTGTCATTGCTACAATTTGATAATGAATAGTATAATTCTAGTAATAGTACTTCAATAGTCATATGTCATTTTGGCAGAATCAACACAGAAATTTGTGTGTTCGAACAATCGATCGGTCGCCCTGAACACACCGGTTTATGTGTTTGGTTCTGCAAAAATGATAAGTGTGATCTCTCGGTCAGGCCCATGCATGGCAATCTGA